CATGTGAATGTATTATTTGCACCAAAATACAGACAGAAAAATAACAATTAAAATAAAACAACTAATAAAATAATCCTTGCTTATGTCAGGTCCTGGAGTCCTAGACTTCCTTGTTCCCAAATCCCTCCCACACATTTCTCTCAAAGAATAACTCCTTAACCGCAGCTTTGATTTCTTCATGCCCAGGATGCAAGAATGGCTGCCTAAACACACCACAGCTGAACACACTCCTCCGCACTAGCCTCATGAAGCCTGAGCACTTGTCATTTCTCCCTTCAATTCGATGAATACACTTGCTGCCCCCGCCTCCATCGTTTGGGTCACGTGGTTTTCCTCCAGCACATACCCCACCTCCACCTTTTCTGTGTCCTCTGGTCCCTGCAAGATCAGTTTCATCACCTGCCTTACCAACGGGGGGGGGGGGGGGGGGGGTAGGCTACAATGGTCTCTCCCTCTCTAAGTCCTATGACTCTTCTGCAGGCAATACAAGTTCTTCTCTAGAAGGCCCACATGATGAGAAAACAGCTTCTTTGAACTGCTGCCTGGGCATTTTGCAGTGTGACAGCCCTGCTCACAGAGACTGGACATTTAGATAAGGACCTGAGCATAGGATTCCTGCCACAAGTTTCCACTTTTCTTTTCCTGGGACACCTTTTTTTTTATTGCAGTATTGTTCATATACAATCTTATATTGGTTTCAAATATACATCATAGTGGTTCAACAGTTACCCTTATTATTAAATCCTCACCCCCCCCTCCCCACTAGTGCAGTTACTATCCGTCAACCTAGGAAGATGGTACAGAATCATTGGCTATATTCTCCATGCTGTATTAGTATCTGCATGACCAACTTATATTATGATTGAGATTCTGGATCTCTTTATCCCCCTCACCCTCCCCACCCACCTACAATACCTCCCCCTTGGTAACCTCCAGTCACTTCTAGGTGTCTATGAGTCTACTGCTGTTTTGTTCATTCTGTTTTGCTTTGTATTTATATTCCACATGTAAGTGAAATGGTATTGTCTTTCTCCACCTGGCTTATTTTACTGAGCATAATACCTTCTAGGTCCATTCATGTTGTTGCAAATGGCAGGATTTCTCCTGGGGCACCTTTTAAAATAACCACTTAGAGCTGAGCTTGAGGAAAGTCAGTGACCCCCACCCGATCCACCTCATAAGTAATAGGTGCTTGTTACTCTCCTCTCCATCTCCTGCTTGCTCATGACCTGGGATGGAGGACTGCCCTTCCACCCCCATTTCTGGGATATGCTACTAATAAATCCTGTGACTTTGTCTGTGTAAGTGCATTGAAACTTCACCTTCGGAGTGACCCTGGGGTTTTCACATCCTCCAGCACAGCCTAACTTCACAATCAGCCTCGGCTGCTTCATGTGTAGGGACCTTCTCTTATGCTTCTTTTATATTTCCCACACCTGTTAGCACACTAGCAGGCACAAACTATGTCTCCAAAAATATTTGGTGACTCATTGTGCTAAACAACTCCCTGCAGGAGTCTGTGTACTCAGGGCACATTCCATCCTTCTTCTCTCTCTCCAATTAAGTCACCTCCAGCGTCCCAAGACCGAACAGTTCAACCGTCTTAGTATAGTGAAGAAAACCTTCTTGGACCCGCAAAGGCTTCGTACTAGTCTGGGCCACTGAATCCCACAGGCTCCATTTAAAACCATGTCTGGGCCAGGTAGGGAGACAGGTAAGGAACGCAGGGTTAGCTGCCAGGCTCAAAGATGCCACACTGAACCATAAGTTCTAAGGATAATCAGGCCAAAGCAGGTGCTTGACAGAGAAAGAGCCAATAAGGTAAACAACTCTAATCAATGGATTACCAACTTCTTGGAGAATTCCTCATTGAAATTCTCCTCTCACTCAAGTGAATCCAAAACAGAATCCCATGACCCACTTAGAAAATAAGCTACCAGGAAAGGCAATTGACCCAGAGGTGAATAAAAGCTTCTCCTAAGAGAAGAAAAATAATTATAATGAGGATTTTCCCTAAACATTTCCAAAGTTCCCTATTCTCTTGATATATTGTCTTAATACTAATAATGATATATCCCAAACCAATACCTTCTTTCGCCAATTTTTAGAAGTGCTTGCTTACCTGTCCATCTCTTAATTCCTTCTCATTATGGAAAGAGCAAGATATCTCATTCATGACTCAACTCATTTATTCAAGTGAGCTGTGTCCTTGGGCTCAGAAAGTAGTTTAATAAGGTCTGAGGTTAGAAGCTACGGGGACAGCCAGAGACCCGACTGCTCTACCTTCACCTTCCTTCTTGGCAGGCATCCAGACTACGAGCAAGAAAACAGTCCCTGTGGGCCATCACCAGGGTTGGGGGTGAGGTGGTTCTGTAAGCACGGAAAGAAGTCTCTGAGGTCTCTGAAGCCTCAACTCTGTAAAAAAAAACAAGAAAGAAAAAAATTAAAAAAAGAAAGCTGGTTTCATCATTCAGTTATGCCCCTGTTGAGACAACTGACTTTAAAAATCTTTAAGGAACTCTAAATTTATTCTGAATAAATAAGCTCCTTTAGCCAAATGCCTACCTCTTACCATCTGTGCCACTGGATGGAAAGAAGGGGATTCTATAGAGTCGGAGGGCTGGGTTCTGTGTCCAGAAGGCAGGAGCACCTACGTATGTGGAAGGGTCTGTTTCTGACAATGAAGTTACTGGGATCTGGGGCAGTTTCTTAAAGGGATGAGGCTAATGGATGGCACCTTAGTAGGTGATCTTGGCTGCAGTGCTCAGACACAGGTTGGGTCTGGAGACTTACAACACTGTGATCTGGTTCCTATCATGACAGAATATCAAAATGCAACACAATGCTTGCCTTCCTCGGCTATCATCAATATTGTACATGTCGCGGCTGCTCACCCGGTTTGGCTAACTCTAAGTCATCTCACGAGTCCACCTTAGGAAGACTTGTAGGGGATGGCCTTTGTCTTCCCCCATGTCTGAACGCAAAATAGGAAAGCACCAGCTTGAGAACAACTGGTGCAATCCTTGGAAGTTATCTGCCCACAAAAACATATCTTGTCCTCGAAAACGAGCCAAGACGCCTCACGCTGAAAACAGGGAGACCTTGGGGATGTGTGAAAACACTGCCCCTGCTTACTGGGCAGATTCTAAGAAAATCAACAAGATGTTCTGGCCTGTCCCCCTGAAAAGGGAAAGATGAGTATAGCATTTGGCTGAGGTCCGAGAAAGGCAGTAGAAAAATAAAGGAGCTGCGCCACATCGGGGCTGCTGCAGTCATTATCTGTCTGTCTGTGTGTTTTGTTCACTCTCATTTCACCTGAGTGAGCGGCACGCCACAAGACTGGACAGGTTCACACCTCATCATGGGAGAACTGGACATCACGGATGCCTGTCACAATAAAAATCCAGATCGGAAGTGGACAGATGGATGACAACCACACATAACTGACAACCGTACTTCACAGACTTGGGTAACTAAGGAAGGTGGGTGGTCTATGATGTCAGCCCTCCACTGTGGGAATATGATCTGGATTGTCTAAGAACTGGCTGCCTGCAACAAGCTGGAGTCTTTGTTGAGGGGTAGGATGCACTGATTCCTAGCTCCAAGAACAGGAATACTTCTGTCTCTCGAGTTGCATTTAGCTCACTGTAATTTATGGGGGAGGGCAGTGTCCCTTGGTACCTCAGGATCTAGCTCTCTCCTGCTATGTCCTCTGGGGCCTCAGCATCGGCCTGCCTTTCCTTTCCCTCCTCCCTGAACTCCATGACAGCATATGACCAAACATTCACACACCAGCCAACCTGAGGAAGGTGACAGGGAGGTATGCTAACAGCGATTTCAGGAAGGCTCTTCTGTTACTGTGTATGAAATCAATCAAGCAGCTAGAAGCATGACCAGCTTTACACACCTCTTGTGCCTCAGCTAAGCCTAGAGCACTAGCATCTTCAATAGGGACAATTACTATTTGTATTGGAAAAAGAATAGAGCAAAAACCGTCAAACTTGCAAATACCCCAAGTTAATGAAGTCACTCTCACCAATATTAGGCAAGTTCCTTAAAGCTGTTGTGCCTGAGGAAACGACCCTCCTATAAAGTTGGATCCTTTTCAAATTAAGTATTTATGATGCAGTCACTTTAGACGAGGAGCTACATTAAGGGGTATGATTTTCGAATTGCTTGTTGGAACTCAAACTCTGAGTGGATATTTAATCTAGACACCGGGTTCACACCTTAAACACAAATGCGTACATAGGTATGGCAATCATCTTTTATTCAGGCTTGTTGCTGGGCGGTTCCGCGTCACCCCACGGAAGGGGTCCCATGGGGACCCACCCAAAGGCCTGGGGAGCCCCCAGGCCTCCGCCTCAAGCAATGCCACCCTAGGGGGGCGCCACGGCAAAAACTACGGACAATCTGGGGGCACAGGGCTGGCTGCTAGCCACTGTGAAGAGCGGATCTCAATAGATTCTCAATCCACCAAGATACCGAGCAGACAGGGGCTGTGTGGGAATTCCGGCCAGAAACTTTCTCACCGCTTGGCGAGGAACCAAGGAGAGCAACTTGCCTCGGGTCATTCAGCGAATCTCGGCAGACAACAGACCATAACCCAGGTCTCCTGTCTGCCAGTCGGGATTCTCTGGCTTGCAACTCACAGCCTTGACTCGCCTCAGGGCGATCATTTCCACGGCACATTCCTCCTCCTCAGACGTCCCCCGTGGGCTCGCCGGACGCATCCCCGAAGTCCCCCGAGCGGTCGCAGCCGGAGCCCGGCAGCCCGGCAGGGCGCCTCCGCGCATGCGCCCAGAGCCCTCCGTGCCGCCTCCCCCGGCAGGAAGAACCGCACCTCCCAGCAGGCCATGGGAACTCCACCCTGCAGATTAGTACGAAGAGTCGGGAGGGTCAATCTGCGCCAGAGTCTGGGCGTCCGGCTGTCTAAGCGTCCTCCTCTCTAGGCTGACAACGACCGACTGACAGCGCCGAGCCAGAACCGCAGAGGCCTCTAGAAGTCTGGGCTGACCCCTTGCTCTCTCGCGCGCGATGTGGCTGCTGGTGGTGCTGCTGGCTGTGCTGCTGTTGGCGGTCCTCTGCAGAGGTTACGTGGGGCTGTTCGCGGGCAGCTCCCCGAACCCTTTCTCCGACGACGTCAAGCGGCCCCCTTCGCCCCTGGTGACCGACAAGGAGGCCAGGAAAAAGGTGCTCAAGAAAGGTTAGCGGGAGGCACCCTGGGTCCGGGGCAGCGCTCGGGCCACCTCGCGGGTGGGTGTTCCATTCCGGCAGTGAGCAGGGTGCTGGGAGGAACTCCTTCACGTGGAAGCGCCCCCTTTGGTGTCTGCCACAGGCGATAGCCTTCGCCCGGGCAGGCCCGCTGATTAGTGTCCCGCGGGGGCGGGCACGGTCCTCGTTGCGCCAAGGTGCGCCTCTTAATGTGGCCGAGACTCACGGGGCAGACAAGAGACTTTTGCCCCGCTTGGTTCTAGAACCTTAACTTTTTCACTTACCGTCCTCATGGGTTCAGGAGCCTGGGGAAGCTGCACAGAAATCTCCAACCTATATAGGAAATTGCATTTTGCCCATTAAATGAGTTGACTGGTTATGCCCAGTCCCGATTGATATGGCTGAACCCTGGCTGTAAAACTTTGATACAGGCTCAACAGGGTGCCCCAGGCTCAGAGTGACTCTTCTATCAACCAAACTACCTCCACTGTCATCTTTAAAACGTATTTTGGTTTTAAAGAATTATAAATTCTAAGGATTAAGGAAGAGTTCTGCTTTAAAAAAAAAAAAATTGGATACCCTTTTTGACCTCCAGGGTCCCTCTCAAATTTTAGAATTCTGTGCGAAACGTCTTGTTACAGTTGAGGCAGTACTGTTGTAAGCGGAAGGACTATTAATCTGAACTTTTGAGATCAGTTTTAGCCTGAACTCTTCCAGTAATTTGTTGCATAACCATTAGCAAGTCACTTCACTTATCTGGGATGGTCTAAAAATGAGATGACTAGTTTAACTGTTTTTCAAACCAGGTTCTGATCTATTAGTGGGCCATGAAATGGATTTAGTAGGTTGCATTTCATAATGCAGTAAAATAGAACTTAGTGTGAATCACATATGGTTCTGGAAAGTATTGTACTGTGAAACTTCTGTGTCAGGTATTTCTATTACATACTTACATGTGACAGATCTGGGTTGTGATATAAAATTTAGTTTTTCACTATCGGTCTGTCTGAAAACGTTTAAGTTAAAAGTTTATCAAGTTATCTTGTAGACTAAAAAATTCCAAATTCCAGTCCTTTGGGAATAACTTTTAAAGAACAGATCTGGTGTTGGAAGTGCCCACATAGCACCACATGCTGTCCAGTGTTGTCTAGTTATGTGCTGTCCCCTCTGCCTTGCGTCCAGACTTTCCTGTTATGAGGGGGTGGTGCTGTGATTTCTCAGCAAAGTCCTGCTAAGCCTCCTTCAGGATCTTGAAGAACCACCATATGGCCCCCCACACTACTGCCAGCAGAGCCTGCATTTTCCAGAGATAACCGGCTTGTGAATGGACAATTCCATGATCAGCAGCCTAACCCACAGCACCCCTTTCCCTATCTCTTTGTTTTCTTTCTTCCCAGCTCTATCTGCACTAAAGTTTCTCAGTCTGTGTTATTGTCAACTTCCTGTTTTTGTTCCTGTAGCAGTTTACCAATTCCTACCTTCTTTGAAGTAAGGAAAATCCCCAGGTACATAGTGACTTTGCTTAAGTCAGTTCAGATCAAACCAAATCACTTTCTTTAATCTGCCTAGTTGGTCCTGAGTATTTCCCAGGTAATATTTGAGATATTTTAGGTAGGGGCTCTGTGCCAAACTGCTCTAGAGTTTTCTTACCTGGTACCAGCTAGAGAAGTCTTCCTTGGTTTCCTTATCTTTGCTTTTTTGTTGCTGCTGCCTGAGACGTCCACTCTTCATCTCTTTTCTCTCTGCTGCAGCTTTCTCGGACAGCCGAGTCCCAGAGAAGTTGGATGTTGTGGTGATAGGCAGTGGCTTTGGGGGCCTGGCTGCAGCTGCAATTCTGGCCAAAGCTGGCAAGCGAGTTCTGGTGCTGGAACAGCATACCAAGGCAGGAGGCTGCTGTCATACCTTTGGAAAGAATGGCCTTGAATTTGACACAGGTAGGACTTATGTGGGAAAGGGTTGGGAGCATGGCTCTGCCTCATCAGGTTGGGAGCAGCCATTGTATGATGAATGATTCTGATGGGGCAAATCCGAAAAAGGGGAGACCAGTTAGGTTTTCAAAAGTCCAGGTGAGAGATGATGGTGACTCTGATTAAGCTGGTGATCATAGACCTGGAGAGAAGTGGGCCAATATTATACAAATACCCATAAACACATACATGCATATACTTGGGAGCATGTTCAACTGTACTACACTCTGAATATAAGGATGACTTGGAATCAATTGAAGGAGATGGAGCTTTACACAAACCTTTAAAAAATTGTAACACCAAGTGATATGTTCAATCTTAGATGTATGTACAATATAGTTTTACCAATCATAGGGAAGGGAGTGGGGGTCAAAGTCCTGTATGATATCAAGAGCTTTATAATTTAAACAATGTCAAATATACTGCTGCTCACAGTGGAACTACCATCACCAAAGAAGAAATTGACAAATTAACTAAGTACTCTTCTGCTAATTGTGATGCCTTCCTACCTTAATCTCCTGAGTATGTTTGTGTGTGTGGGTGTGTATACCAGCATCCAGTATATCACCCGATAACCTCCTTGGGCTGGTTGTGGGATGATACTGGGCATTTCCGTTGTTTTGGAGGTTCTGTCTTCTCTGTGGGCACCATTTTCCTCATCTGACAGCCATATCCACTGGGAGCTGAGCTGGGCAGGGGTTTGGTGGTTTCTGCAGCAAATCCTCCCCACAGAAAGGGTGGGGAGCCCCCTCTGGGCACAGACTCTGCTGTGCAGGACAGCCTCTTTCACCTTGCTGCTTTGTCCACCTTTCCAGCCAGTGCTCAAGTCCCTTCTCCCTATGACACCTTGTTTTTCTGTCTCTCAACAGGAATCCATTATATTGGGCGCATGCAGGAGGGCAGCCTTGGCCGTTTTATGTTGGACCAGATCACTGAGGGGCAGCTGGACTGGGCTGCCATGTCTTCTCCCTTTGACATCATGATACTAGAAGGGCCCAATGGTCAAAAGCAGTTCCCCATGTACAGCGGGGAGAAAGCCTACGTTCAGGGCCTCAAGGAGAAGTTTCCCCAGGAGAAAGCTGCCATTGACAAGTATATAAAGCTGGTTAAGGTAATTCGGACATGCTTAAGACCCCCTGTTTATTCCCAGAAAGGCTGACTTTCCTCATTAGTGGAGTGACTGGTGGGGGAGGAACAGTCATGTCTGTCTTGAACTCAGTCCCCACCCGATTTGGCCTCTATGCCCAGGTGGGCCCGGTCTCTGGAGCCTGGGCTCAGCAGCTGCCACTCTCTCACTCTGGCCTCTAGGGGGCACCCTGCTCTCCTCCCTGACTAGGCTGGCTTCCGTGTGGCCAGATCACTACCCTTTTTAACTTCATCTCAGACCAAATTGGGATTTTCCAAAAGGAATTTGGGCAGGAACCTTAAAAGCAAAAAAAAAAAAAAAAAAAAAAAGGCTCATCTGAGTGTGAATGGGAAAAATTTGCAGAGTACAGATTTTTAAAAATCCAGATTCAGCGAAGTTCAGCCAGGAATAGGTGCTGCTGGGCCCTCCAGCTAATGTAGGTGATTCTTGATTCTAGAGATGAGACCTGCCCCGCCTGCTCATTTTCTTCTCAGGTGGTATCGAGGGGAGTCCTTCATGCCATCTTCTTGAAGCTCCTCCCGTTGCCTGTGGTTCAGCTCCTCAGCAAGTGTGGCCTGCTCACTCGTTTCTCTCCGTTTCTCCGTGCATCCACACAGAGCCTGGCCGAGGTCCTGCAGCAGCTGCCGGCCTCCCCAGAGCTCCGGGCAGTGCTCAGCTACATCTTTCCCACTTACGGTGAGTACTGGCCCCGGGCTTGGGCAGCTCCTGGAGGAGGTGGTACTGCCCTCCTGACTCTCAGTCTTTCTTCCTGAACCCACCTGGCCAACTGAAATGGAGCAGTATAAACCCCAAGCCCTCCAGAGCTTCTGGATGAGAAATCTGTCCACCTATTGGCTGGACTCCCTGGTAAAAATTCCCCTCGTGCATGCCTTTTTAACCTGCACTGTCCCATGTCTTGGGAGCATGGCAGTTTCTGGAGAGGACATTCCCTTGGCCCTGACAGCTGTAAGGTACTACATGTTTGGGTGGAAATAGGCCCTCTGGCTGCCAGGAGCTCTGGGGACTTGGATCCTGGGGTTGACAGACGCAGGCTGCGTGCTTTCTGACAGGAATCCATGTTCCTTTCTGAATGGTGCTGCTGCCTGCTCTTGCCTCATCACCCTTTTCTTCCCCTTTAGGTGTGACCCCCAGCCAAGGCACCTTTGCCATGCATGCTCTGCTGGTTAATCACTTCCTAGAAGGGGCCTTTTATCCCCGAGGGGGCCCCAGTGAAATTGCCTTCCACACCATCCCTGTGATAGAGCGGGCCGGGGGTGCTGTCCTGACCAGGGCTGCTGTGCAGAGTGTGTTGCTGGACTCTGCTGGGAAAGCCTGTGGTGAGAGCCCCACATTGTGCCTCGGGGCCCCTGGGGTGGGAGAGCCCAGGGTGCAGAGAAAAGGCACTGAGGGTTGAAGGCATAGAGGAACTGGCTTCCTTGGGGTTAAAGGCTGCAGTCTGCCCTGGAACAGGCACTGGGGGATTGCAAAGAGTCTGGAGGTAAGAGGAACTCAGGAACTATAAAAAATTGCATGGTCCCCAGAGAACAGTATTTAATCATTTATTCAGTAGGTAAAAATAGTTATCCAGTAATCCATGACCTCCCTGAGTATAGGGGTTGTGTCATTGTAATCTTTATGTCTACAGATCTTAACACAGAGCAGAAGACCAATAAATGTTTGTTCAGTGATTGATGGAATGAACCAGTATCTTGGGCGCTGCAGAGGGCAGTGTGGAGGCCAGCAGGATGGCCTGCCCTCAATCTGTAAATGGCAGAGTGGGGCCTAGGAGCTCATTGTCCTGGCCCAGGTCCCTGCTGTTACCTGCCCAGAGAGTCAGAATCCTACTATGGATGAATTCTGTGAGGAGAAGGTCTATGCTAGGAAGGACTCTGGTAAACAGAACAGGTTGTCCATGACTAGGGAGTGCTTACAGAAGCATCAGGGAATGGGACAGAGAGGGGGGCCTGAGGAAAACAGGGCCAGTGCAATGGCAAATTCAACAAAGGAATCTTTCTGCGGGGAGGAGAAGAAGGGATGGCCCTATGCAAAAAAAAAAAAAAAAATCAAGGGAGAAAAGGCATCAGCAATCTCTGAGAGTGCATTTGTAGTAGAGACTAGGGGGTTGCTGGGTGATAAGAAAGAGGTGGCTGTGCAAGCTGTGAGATTTTCTCTTACATCCATGAGCAAGTTCTCCTTCTAGCTGAAAGGGGTCCATGAAGAAAGGCAAGTTTATCAGTTCAATTAAATTCAATTCAGAATATTATCTGTGTTTTTCATGTGCTAGGTGATAAAATATGGAGACAAAAAAAAATAGATTAAGTCCCAATCTCTAACTCAAGAAGTTTCCAGTCTCATAGGTAAGATCACTGATATACAGAGGCACATACTAAAGATGGAGGTGACATAGAGGATTGGCGGAAGAGAGAAAGCCTCCAAGGGAAGGCAGAGGTGCTTGAGCCAGGTCACAAAGTGTGAGAAGAAGCTAGCCAGAGGCTGGGGAGGTTATTCCAGGCAGGGGGAACAGAATGTGCAAAGGCACAGAGGTATGAAAGAGCTAAATATTTTTAGGCATATGAAAATATTAGGTTGAACCATATGAAACAGCCATTTGTATAGGTCAGAATTGGTTGAATACCAGCTGTTTTGTATGGTTCTACCTAATAGTTTTGTGAGAGTGGCCAGAGATGAGGCTGCACACACACAGAAGGGACCAGATCATAGAAGACTGACATAAGACTTTGGAGTTTATCTTACAGAGGGTGAGGTATCATTGGAGGGTTTTAAGGAGCATATTTGGGAACTAGAACTCTGGCAGCAGTGAAGAAGGGTCTAGGATCCCAATGGATGAGCTTTGTTGGGGTTGGTGTGGAGGTGGTTGGGTGGCAGAAGAAGAGTGCCCATGTAGGGAGGGGAGAGTGCAAGGGAAGGTGCACACAGAGGTGGCTAATGGGAAACACTGAGAGTACGTGAGGGTGCTTTGCGCTCTGGCCAGTGTTGCCTAGGGCCTGCCTGCTTGGCCCGTGTGGGGCTGGATGCCCAGGTCTGAGGAAATGAAGTGTAGGCTGGGAGAGATCTGTGCAGGATATGGGCCTTTCTTCTGGAGCACACAGCCCCTCAGCCAAGCTCTTGTGTCTATAGGTGTCAGTGTGAAGAAAGGTCAGAAGCTGGTGAACATCTACTGCCGCATCGTAGTCTCCAGTGCAGGCTTGTTCAATACGTATGAGCACTTACTGCCGGAGAGTGCCCGCTGTCTGCCAGGTAAGACTGGCTGCACCACTCCCTTCCAAGCTTCTCAGCGTGGCCCTCTGGGGCCGACTTGCTCAGCCTGGCCGATGCTTTTCCTCCTCTTGGCTTCCCTTTGACCATCCTTAAGCAGCAAAGGTGGGCACCCAGGTCTCCAACATCCATTCTCAACAGGGCCTCTGTGTTTGGGGATTGGGAGACAGCTTCCTTTGTAGTGCATGGTCCCCAAAGAGCTTTGGCCCTTATCTCTCATCCCATTGCTGGCATACAGCCCCCTTTCCCCCTATAACTTCAACTGCTTTGCCCTCTCCCCTTTTTAGTTTCCATTCCGAGTTGCCCATTTGGTTTCTTTTTCTAGGTCTTAGCTCATCTCTCCAACAGCTAATGGTGGTATGTAGAGTCCTAAAGGAACATTTCTTGAATTTTCACCAAGTTTGTGATATGAATCCTGCTTCCTTTCTTAACTTCTCACTTGTTTTGGGTGGAGAAGAGTGGTCTGACATTAGTAAGGGAAGCAAGAGCTGGCATGGAGAAGAAAGGCTTGCAGAAATTGTATGTGCCTTATGTGGGACCCAAGGTTATATATTCTGCCTCTTTCGGTAACCAGCCCCTTATTGGGCCTGAGGTTGCAGGAGTGCCCTCTGGCTTTCTTCTGTCTCTTGAGCACTATGCTCCAAGTCTGGGACGCAGTTAGAAATATGCCTCAATGCAGTCATCTCTGATAGGCTGTGTCTAAAAATCAAAGCCTGGTTTTGTGGAGTTGGGAAGGTAGGCATATTTATGGGTGCACACTGCTCTGGTAAGTCTGTGTGAGAGGCTTTACCTCTGTCATTGATGCTCACAGCCACCTGGGAGAGAAGGACCATCATCCTAAGATGGTGGTAGGGGTGAGCTGGGGCCCATATTGGTAAAGCAACTTTCCAAGGCCACCCAGCTGAAAGTAGCAAAGCGGAGTGAGAACACTGGTGTGTCTAAGTTGAAAGCTTGGGCTCTTGGCCCCCTCTGGGCTAAGAAGCATGGGGCTTCAAGGGACAAGGCCTCACTAAACGGGTCAGGAGAGCAGATCAGCCTGTAAGGAACAAGCTGTTGAGCCAAAGTTAGATGAGAAGTTACCCTTTAGAAATGGACTGTGGGTATTGTGTAACTAGAAGCTACTGGTGTGACCTGAGGAAAGAAGGCTGGCTGGCTGGGAGGGGCCCATAATCCTGAAGGGTAAGGGAGAGGGGTCTAGGTAGAGGCTTCTGTGGCTAGGGTGGGAGATTGAGAGGAAGGAGCAGCTGAAGATGCCGTTGGGATGGAAACCATCGACTTGAGTGGTGTACAGAGGAGGAGCCTGGAGAGTGTGGGAAGGAGCTCTCTCCCCAGAGGGTGGGCCAGGGGGCTGCTCTCAGAGGAGCCAGAGAAGGTGGTCAGCAGAGTGCGTTTGGTAGAAAAATGAGGTCCTGGATTTCCTTGTTGGGGAGAGGATGGGGTAGCAATTGTAATGGTCTCTAAGATATGAATTGTGTGCTACTGAAAATCAGCCTTCTCATTCCTGTCTCACTTAGCTGGGCATCAGCTAGCCTCCGCTGCCAGCTGAGGCCTCCCTCCTCTTGCACTGGGTGAGCTGAGTGTGGTGAGGCTGACTGCCCAGGGACAGGGCAGCTGGAAGGGGCCGGGTGGTCTGAGAGACTTCGCCTTTGGTACTGTCTGCTTCCCTCTCTCCGAGGACCTCTGAACCCTGACAGTGCCCTCTTGACAAGTCCCAGTGCCCCACCAGGCCTGCCTTCTCTCCTGGGAGCCATGCTACAGAGTTACCCGTTCAGCTTGCCCTCCTTCACTATCTAGCTCAGCTTTAACTGCTCTTACGTGTCTCAGGCCTGCAAACAGTTTGATGGTACCAGCCCTGCCAGCTGAAGGACTGAGTGCTGTCCATGGATGGGGAGTTGGACGCTGCCCCAGGTGGATACCAGTCTGGGGGCATTTCAGCTAGAGGCAGTCATGATGCTTAGCTCAGAGAACCCAGGTGCTGGGACTCCTTCGTTCCCAGCTGTTTGGGGGTGGAGATTCTGATAGGTCTGCTTACCTCTCAGAAATGAGAACTAGGTATCTGGTGGCATTTAGGACAAGCAGTGCCTGTCGGGGTCCAGGGTGGAGGTGGGGTGGTCAGGCGGAGGGAGCCTTTGTGAATAGGAATGCTTTCTCAACTCTGCTAAGCCTTGAGATTACTGGGGATGGTTGGAAAGGAAGTTTTTTGGGTGGGGAAGACTGGTCTGGCAATACCAGTAAGGGAAGCTAAGGCTGGAATGGTGAAAAGGGTTTGATATAACTGTTGTGTGCCTTATTTGGGACCCAGGAGTATATTTTTTCTGCCAGGTATATTGTTCCTGGATCCGGGATAGCTGGAGGTAGTTGCTGTTCTGAGGGGCCTCTGAAGACCTAGGGGGTTTCACTCCTGGCCCCTGGTTCCTTCCATGCCCGCCCTCCCCAATCTGGAAAGAGGGTGTCCACAGCGTGGTCTCTCTGCATGCCAGGCCCAGGCGGTGAGGGGCTCCTGCGGCTCCAGGGCCACTCTCTGCTCCTTCCTGGGCCTGTGGGAAGCCTTGTTCCCCTTCCTCCTCAGGGTGCCCCCTTGCTGGGCATTGCAAACCCTCTGTCTGTTGTCCTGCTGTAACTGTTATGATGCTCCCTTTCCCTCTCGAAAGTGATCTGTTTGGGATGGTAAATTCTAAGGTCACCCTCCCCAGAGTGCTCAGTTCTTTGTAACTTGATTAGGACAGCAGGATAGCCAGCTTCTTTCAGGAAACTCTCCTTCTATTCGACAGGTGTCGTATCTGATTCCTCTTAGTGTTGGGGGGAAGGTTGATTTGGAGACGCAGGGAAGTTAGAGTATAAGGTAATTAGAATGAAAAAGCAAAGTAACAAAGACACCACTTGGAAAGCTCAGAAACAAAACGTTATAAGTGATTTATTAAAAGCAAAAAGATACGCACTCAGTGGGAAGTGTGGACTTCCTCAGAGAAGAGGCGCCCCCAAGGTTTTAGGGTCTGGGGTTTATAGGTGGTTGAGGATTTTCAAAGGGCTAGGGGTGTGGACTCGAATGTTTATCCCTGATGAGTCATTACATCTTTCTTTTGATTCGTTTTCCAGGTAATTCTGCAAAATTAACATAAGAAATTTACTGCTGATTTCTTCCCAGAATAACAGCTTTTTGGTCTGGGGGCATATCAATTAAGACCATTTGCCTGCCCTCCAGGGTGGGCTGAGTTATTATTTGTTTGCTAAATGGTATGTTATGAATCTTACTTTTTTTGGCTTTAAGGTGGGATCTCCCTGTCTTTATTATGCTGTTTATAGGTGGGCCTTTTAGCAGGCTAGAGTAAATCTTACAATGATCTGATTGACACAGTGAAAACATGGGCCGTGCTCAGATACTTAATTAACTCATTAACTCAGAGTCTTTTCTGGCTGCCTAGTTTTAACTGGTTAACTTGAGTCCTTTCTAGGGGGCTTTTACTTACCTTATTCTGTTTCCACTCTGCTCATATCTATTTTCCTGCCTAACAGTAGTACTCTCAGGGCCTCTCACAGGACTCTCTACATTTCAGGTCTTCAGCAAATCTTTGCTAAATGTTAATTAACAAATCTTTGTTAAATGAATTAAGCAGAGCCAAGTGGCTGAGTTATCCCCTAGGCAAGTGCTGGAAAGGTCCTGGGAATGGAAACAAAGGGTAACATCTTGGGAAAGCAATTTCCAGAAAACTGGTCTGGGGTCACCTTTTGAGAGGTGGGGAAGCCCTGCTGTTCAGGCCCGGGGATTGCAGAGGGCTCTCCCTGCAACTGATGCTTTCCTCCACTGTGCTCCCTGCCCCACTAGCTGAATACTGAGATGCTCTGTGCCGGTCATGCTCTTAGCCATTTGTTTATATGCATTGCTTACCATTTTGAGACCTTGGGCTGACAGCACATTAGATATTAAGTGCTGTCCAGCACATTAGGAATTATGCATAGTCATTCATTAAATACATAGCTTGGTGAATTCAACACTGAAATTAAGGCTTAAACTGTTCACATGTGTGGTCTTTAGAGAGTGGAGCCCAGTCATAACTTAAGGACATTAGGGGAAGACTGGAGGCAGTTGGCCTGAGACTGCCCTGCAGGCACCATGAGCCAGCTTAGAGACACTAGGTGTCACCTCCTTTGCAAGGTGCTCTCAGCAGAAGTGGATGGAGGTAGAAGGATAGGAGGTGAGGGTTGTATCCAGGAGACAGATGAACAAGCCCTTCTGCCAAGTCAGTGTTGAAACAGCAGTTGTAAAAATGGCCCAGGAGCAGGCTGGTGGCTGGGGCCAAGGCTGCAGGCGAAGTGAGCGGCACCAGCAGGAGCTCCAAGGGTGCAAGCAACCCTCTCTGGGCTTCGTCCAGCAGCCCTCACCTTCTCTCTTCGGCAGGCGTGAAGCAGCAGCTGGGGATGGTGCGGCCCAGCCTGGGCATGATCTCGGTCTTCATCTGCCTGCAAGGCACCAAGAAGGACTTGGGTCTGCAGTCCACCAACTACTACGTTTATTTTGACACAGACATGGACAAGGCGTAAGGCTTGTGTGTGTGTGTGTGTAGGTTTGGGGGGGGGGTGTCAGCGTGGGCCTGCAGAGAGTCAGCAGCAGGGTGTGAAATGGGTGGAAGTGGAACAGAATTTGCTCCTGGAAGGCTTTTAAACCTAGGCAGTGCCTCAGCGTCATCCCTCTAGTGGGGGGTCCCTGGGGAGGTCTGTCCTTGAGTGGTGCCAGTGCGCTCACAGCCACACTCCTCGCCCACAGGATGGAGCACTACCTCTCCAAGCCCAGGGAAAAGGCTGCAGCACACATGCCCTTTCTCTTCATTTCTTCTTCAGCCAAGGATCCGACTTGGGAGGACCGCTTCCCAGGTGGGGCTTAAGGTCCCAAGGGGGTGGAGGGGATGGAGGAAGATGCTGGGCAGTAGTAAGGCTGGCTCTATGCCCCCAGGCCGGTCCACAATGATTGTGCTGGCACCCACGTCCTATGAGTGGTTTAAGGAGTGGCAGGAGGAGCCCGAGGGAAAGCGGAGCAATGACTATGAGACCCTCAAGAACTCCTTTGTTGAAGCCTCTCTGTCCGTTGTCTTGAAGCTGTTCCCGCAACTGGAAGGGAAGGTCGGAGGGGCACCTGGGTGGTTGTGGGGACAGACCTCTTGGAGCCATTTCCGCCCTTCTCTGGACAGGGGAACAAAGCCCTGAGATAACTGGGCTCCAGGGAGGGACAGGGAATCCACAAAGGGCGTCAGCTCATTCTGGGAGAGCAGAGAAGGGAGAAGCGATCTTGCCAGGTCCCACTCCCACTCTGTGGCCACCTTTGTTGCTCCCTCAGGTGGACAGTGTGGCTGGAGGATCCCCACTGACCAATCAGTTCTATCTGGCTGCTTCCGGAGGTGCCACCTATGGAGCTGACCATGACCTGGGCCGTCTGCATCCTAACGTGATGGCCTCCTTGAGGGCCCAAAGCCCCATCCCCAACCTCTACCTGACAGGTACACTGACTGCCCTATCTTGCCATTATCCTAGACTCTGTCACCCTGTCCTTTGGTCCTGCTGTCCCCTGTAGCCTCCCATACCCTGAGCTGGCTGCCTTGGCAGGCTGTGGACCTTGGTCCTGACCTAAAACTTGTTCAGGACAGCCTGGCATGGAGGGGTGGCCATGAGAACCTTTGCTCTCCCCCTTCCCTGCTTGCTCATGGGCCTCTGCTCTTATCTTCTAGGCCAGGATATCTTCACCTGTGGGTTGATGGGGGCCCTGCAAGGGGCCCTGCTGTGTAGCAGCGCCATTCTGAAGCGGAACTTGTACTCAGACCTTCGTAAGCTTGGCTCAAGGATCCAGGCACAGAAGAAGAAGAATTAGTTGGGTCAGGAATGAGTCAGGAATTCAGCCAGTGCTTTGGCACTGCCCCCGACATGCCCATGTCTTCCTGCATTCTTTTCTTGCTCACATAAAGCACTCTTGATTTCTTTTTGATCTCTATTTGAGTAGAGCTCTCACCTCACACTCAATTCTCACTTAAGATTACTGTTCTTAAACTGAAGCTCCCCCAGCTGGGGCAGGTGCTGACCGTTCATGCCTGTTCTAACAGGCTATCCCTACTGAAATGCCCAGTGTGGGCTACTGACTTGCACAGCCTCCTATCCCATACCTCCTGACTCTGAACAAACAGAATATTCTTTTATTTAGGTGGACAAAACCCTTGGAAGTGCTGGCTAGCTGAAAGGGTGGCATTATTGTACTGAGGCATCTCCCTCCTTTCATTCACTCTTAGTGCTGCACTGCAGTTCTCAGCTGGTAAGGAAACAAGGCAACATGTATATTAGAAGATCACATCCAGTTCGTATGCAACCAGGCTCTAGGTTTGTCCTTATAGGGTTCTCAACATGCCAGCACCAAGATATCCTCATGGAGCTCAATACCTGAGCTCAAGGCTCTTCCAAAAATACACAATGCAGAGTGACATTAGTAGATGGCACTGGACTGGAAAGATCCCGTCACTGGTGTAGCAGCACGCTGAGGGAGCACTGGATGTACTGGGCCAAACAGCCCAGCGGCCCCCTGCACGGAGGATCTGTGCTGCCTGGTGGGGAGGAGCGGGGGTTGGAGATCAGTCAGGATGAGAACACGGAGAGCTACAGAATGTGTGCAAAGCCCAGGAACAGCTTTTCCAGTTTCCCGGTACACATATGGGGACTGGATGGGAAGGTGAAGGAAGGCTAAGAAAAAAATGAACTTTCACTTACGCGAGGCCTTATTTCAGTCAATTTTAATGCAATATTAATAAATTAATGATTTGATAACTAATATTTGAAATTTATTTTGGTTTCTGTGCAGTGACACAAAACTACACTGAAATGGCATTCATAAAAGCTTAGTAAAACTTTATGTACTGAAAAGTACTTATCATCAGACCAAATAAGCTTTAAAAAAAATACAGTAATTATAAATTACAAAATGCTGAAAATATAAAACATTGCAAAACACTGGCACTCTACTAACTGGGTTAAAAAAAAGAAACAATTTCAACCATCAATTATTTATTTAACACAGTAGATTTCTGAATTAAAGGTTATCTATCAGTGTGTGAGGAGGCTATCTTTGTTGTGTGTGTGGCAGCTTGAACAATACACAGTTCAGCCCCAGCGCCTTGACAGAGGAGTTCCTAAATGGGATATTTAGGAAATTCAGATGTGACTTGTGGAACTAACTGAATTGAGATTCAGTCTTGGCTCTGGACCTTAATTAAACCTGAAAATCTCTTCCCAGGACTCTAACTTGAGCAAGGCACTACCAAAGGTAACCTTCCCAGCAACAGTTTCAGAAACTGGCTGGCAGAACTACACGCTGGTGCAGTGTCTTGTCCTCCCTGTTCAGATGATTGAGAACACATGCAAGGCATGCTAGTTTTCCTCACATGCACAGCATCACCTGTCAGGTTACCCTGTAAACAGAAGGGACAGGCTTCTTCTTTTGGATTTAAATAACATGAAATGGAAGGAAAATACGAGAATCACCACCATTTAAAGGGGGATTTTAAAGGTTTATAATTCTATCACCAAATGTTTCATTCAAAGGCAACATGGGAAAAGAAATGTCAGAGGATATGTTGCTAGTGTCAGGACTTTCTGAGTTGTCTTAGCCTTTCTAGATAGACTGGACTTCCACTCCCTCAAGTACAGAAGTACACTCTGGATAATTCTATTTAGTAACCTAGCAGGAAAATAAGCTCCTCTGTTAACATCCATGACTGAAGCTTAGATTCCTCCTACTGGAAGCCCCCTTAAAGAAGGGAAAAGGGGTGCGCAGCTGTCTGGATAGGGGTGCCTCTCATGGTGCCATGTGCTTCACTGCCCGCACCAGCTCGAGCAATGCTTCAGCTGACTCACCCTCATCCTCATAACCACTATGAAAGCATGCTTCAAATAGTCTCTTAAAAAGACAACTCTCAGTAAACAAGTTTTCCTTTACAGATATTTCAGTGTAGTTGATACGGTGAAACAAATTCTATTGTGCTTTCAGCTCAAGAAGTGATACTTCTCAGAGGCTCAAAAAGTGGAGGCATGTGGTCTCCACAACAATACTTAGTGTCCACTTGGTGTCAACCCTCTTAGTTCCTGACACCCCTTCTTTTTGCTCTCCTCCTAAGCAAAATCCATCAATAAGGGACAGCAACCAGTAGCCACAAAGAGCCATAGAAGGCCTCAGTTAAGTCACACCCAGATGTCCTAAACAAAGTGTCTCTCCTTTGCAAGCAGAAACTGAGCTCCTGAAGTGCCTAGGGAATGTCACTGTGCTGGGCAGACGTGCAGACAGTGCCAAGGGCCCTCTCTCTAGTAGCTTAGTGTTCTTGAAAAGACCAGACATCAGATACTCACTATCCTGCTTTGTTGGAAGTTCCACAATTTCTGATTGGTATTATTAAGAGCTATTAGAGTAGAATGGCAAGAGCCAATCACATTAGTTGGGGAGCGGCAGGGTCAGGAAGGTAGATGGGAAAACTTGAGCTGGGCCCTGAACAAACAGATTTTTGGAAGGCAAGGGGAAGAAGAGAAAGGAGAGCACCCTAATCAAAAAACCACCAACGGAGGCCCCGAATGGAGGCCACAGCACAAACAAAAAGGCACAGAGGCCTGGATGGGCACCTGACAGGAGGGGCCTTTGACATGGCCAGGATGCAGAGAAGGACAGGAAGAAAGTGCCACCTGCATGGTCCTGAGTGAGAGTATCTATAAACTAGATTCGCTAAGCCGTGAGAGGTACAGACAGAAGCTTCAGATAAGGGAAGTACTTTGGAATCAATCTGGTCTCAAGACGTGCAAGAGAAGACGGGCAGAAGAACCGATTAAGGCGGCTCTGAGAAAACATCCAGGCGAGAAGTGACATGAGTGTGGGTGTGGGACAAAGAAGCAAGGAAAATGGAAAGAGTGTAGCTGGAGATAGTTTAAAAATGGATAGGACAGATAAAAATGGTAAAGGTTTACAGTTTGCAGTTTACAGTTGAGATGATTGAAGAAACCGGGCAGTTTTGAGGGGCAGTGTAAGGGGTAGAAGAGAGAAAGTCAGTTTTAATGACAACAGGACAACCAAGTGAAATGCTCAGCACACGACAGGACTGGTCTCTCAGGGGGCCAGGCCAAGGGAAGGCTTAGGAGTCACTTGGAGGATGAGGAATGAATTTCTGAGGAGACAAAGGAACAGAGACCTGCCTCTGTGGGCCCTTTCCCCACCAGCACAGGGTAAGGTAAAGGAGCTCTCAGCAGCCAGCAGTTTGTCAGAGAAACCAAGAAGGGAATTTTAATTTCAGGGGTCAACAGTACCCAATTCTATCAAGGACAAGGCTAAGCTTTGAGAACAAGCCACTAGATTTGGTGATGTGAACCTCAGAAAACCATTCTTAGTAGAAAGGCAGAGACCAAAGTGAGTTTGTAAAGGTTATGAGGAGAATGAATGGCAAGGTAATGAAAGCAACACACACTGGGGAAGCTGAACAGCAGAGTGAATAACAAAGAGGACGGGCGGGCAGAAGGAAAGGTGCTTCTGCAGACTGGAACAGAAGACACTGGGGAGGAGGAGGGAAGGTAGGGAGGCAGGGAACCAGCACAGGGAACAGAACAGTGGTGGTCTGAGTATTAGGGAAGCTGCTGAGAAGAGGATGCAGAGGACAGTATTAGAAGAATGGTGCCCAAGAAGAATGATGCCCAAAAGAGCATTCATCCATCATTCATTCCTTATCTCCACAAATAGCTTACCTGCAAAGAATGAAAATCTCAACTCAGTGCCATGGGCTGTTGTGAGCAAGGCGGAAGGTAACAGGACAAGCAGGATGTCCCTCCTTCAGACCTAGTAATTCAATAGCACAGACTCCATCACCTTCCCTCACTTCCCATTCTTTGTATTTCCCTGAGATCAGCTGTTCTATTCCCATGCTTGCTTTGCAGAGACAACTCCCCTTAGGCTCTCTGTAATAGGGTAGCATGCCAGCAACAGCTTTAATAAAATGTCAACCAACAACAAGAACCAAGACACTGCTCGTTGTTACCCTAGGGAAACCCTCTGCACTTAAATTTTAATAACCCCTCACATGGGATGGAAGAATTTTTACTAATTGCTCTTGGCGTTTTATATCAGAGTAGAGGATCATTAACTATATAAAGGTAAAAGGGACAGTACTAAATACAAGTCTATTTTGTCTAGGTTAGGCAACAAAGGCTAAGGAGAGTTTGTGGGAAATCTGACTCATGAAAACCCCTTGAAAAAAGTGCAGACCAAAACCAAAACCCTCCTACATTTTTCTTGCACAAAGCATGAGCTTACCCTTTTCCGGAAAGTTCCTGTCATGATGTGAGTATGGAAGAACACAATGTTTCAACAATCATAACTGTATTTTTAGAAATTTGCAGTGGGAACAGTGGCTTTACAGCATTTCTCCCAGAATCTCCAACTTTGGTATTATGCGCCACACAACCAAATGGAAGTTAATTTACTCCATCTTAATAAGAAAATGTCAGAAAACTGTTCAGAATTTATGCCAGACAGCTGGAATTCACAGGCAATAAAGCACTTTCTCTAAGCTACCACCTGGCTTGCTGCTGAAGCCTCTGAAGAGAATTATGTGTTCAAAGTAGCCCTTCGCCCATCAGCATTCACCATCTACACCTTTCGTAGGGCACATGCCCCTCAAAGTAAGAGGCCTTGGGAGAAAAGCATCTCAACTTGCAGAATTTTCTGCTAGGTCTGTGACGATAAATAGTGGCAAGTGCAATGTTATTTTCAAGGGGTAACTTCTACAGAGCCAAGGCCCGAGAGCAGCAGTCAGCAGCGGTGGCCTGCGTACGGCTGAGATCTTCCTTTGGTCACGGCTGAGTTCCCGCAGCCCCCTCTACTCACACTCAGGAGGGAAAGGACGGAAGACACCAGCACAGGCATCAGCAACACAGGAGTACAAGGGCACCAAAGTGCAGTTGCACAAACCAAAGCAGCCCCCTGCCTCTGCCAGCCCGGACTTGCCACGAAACCCGAGAGGACAGGGTGTCCCTTAGGTGACAGTACTTCTCTTCATTTTTCTTGATTTAGAAACAAATCAGCAGGGAGGACAAGGTTCTCAAGAACAGAAAAATCAAATCTGAAACAAGAGCAACAAAATCCATTGGTAAAGTTCATCTTTTTCCACAGGAATATACCTCACTACTGTGATTTCAGGGGTGAAAAAAGATGAGTTGCAGTTCAGGGGAAAATTTCAGAATGAAGACAAACTGAATGCTCTATAATACAAACAGCAACCGGTAAAAGGACATGAAGTTATTTTAAAAGTCAGTTTGAAATAAAACATATACCAAAAAGATACATATTTGGTGGAGGGAATGTAACAATCTTGGCTTCTGCTTTGTACCATTCTGTATTGCTTTGAATTGCTTGTATGTGCATTTTTTTAAAGTCAGAAATAATATTATAGTGATGGGGAAAAAAATCCTTAAAGTCAATTATCTGGGAAGGTACTGGGCTGGGCTAAATTGCAAAGCTGACCCATTGGGCCAGCTGGCAAAGATGTTCTAAGCTGAAGGGCTTATTTTGTAGCTGGTATGAGCTGTGCACATGAATTATGTTCCCTGTGGGAAGTTTGGGTGCAACTCACAGCGAGGCCACTGACTATTCTCCCCAGTGCCGTCTCTATGCAGACGGGCAAAGGAAGGGTGCGTCCTAGCAGCAAGGCAGTGGAGTACCATTCCAGCTCCAACAAGCTGCCTGTGGGAAGAACCTTACTCAGCTCCTGCACTGTGGACAGGAAGGAGGGCTCTGCATTCTGG